AGACAACAGGAAGGCAGAGAAACCTGTGGGCAGGCTCTGGAGCCAACTGTACTGTGCCAGGGTGGGACTCTGTGACAAATCACCCTATCTCTCTGGACTTCAGTTTCCTCATCTGAAAATTGGGTCCAGTGTCAGATCTTTCTTATGAGTAGTGAAAGTGGTCCCTGTAGTGCATCTGGCACAGACTATCTGCTCTCCCCCCACCACCGTACTGGTGATCGAACTCAGGTCCTTGTGCTTGCAAGGCAGGCGGAACTACTGAGCTAAATCCCAAGCTGTTCCTTTTCTTAATGTGGCTCTTCAAGTGATGTCCCACTTCTAAACAGGGGGGCCTCTCAAAGAAGCTTCTCATGAGGCAGAGACATTTTACAAAACATGACAGTGATTCTCCCTGTCTGAGAAGGTATGTGTGTCCTCTCCTCTGGGGCTAGCAGGATACCCTACAACTTGGAAGGGAACAAATTCAAATTGCTGTGCCCCTGAACTCCACATTTATGGCAATGCCATGGACAGATGACAGGCGTGGCAGTATAAAAAACAAACAGACATTTGTACTTGCAAAAAAGGGATTTCTCTGGCTTGCTAATTTGCATAGTTTTCTTATCCAAAGAGGGTACCCCTGCTGTGGAGTAATTAGAGAAGAGCCTGTGAGTATACCTGGGGAAGGGGAGGGTACTGCTAAGGCTCAGGCAGGGTGCACATAGATCTCTGCTGAGCAGCTGTCCATGAATAATTGCTAAAAGTTGACAAATATTTAGGAATCTTTCTTGCCTGTCTTGGGTTGACAAGGTGGATCGTAGAGAAAATGGGTATTTTTCCCCCATACTACCAACATCATTTTATAGATTGCGCCTCTTTTTCAGGGTGGCTTGAGGCTGTGGGGTAGGCCTAATTAGATTTTACCAAATTCCTTCATTCTGGGGAGACCTCCCTCCCCAACATCAGTAGCTCCTTCCAGATTTTCATGAATTAGAAAATACAGAAATCAACAGCTTTGCTGATGCCTGGAAGGTAAACAAGGAAACTGTGAGACTTGGCAGAGTATGATATCAGTGCGAATCTGAAGCCTAGATGACTCAGAAACATTATGCACTTTCCCTCATCATTTGAAAACCTTTCTGAAAGCAAAGTGAAGTTGCCTGACAGTCTACGGAGACAACCGGAGAGCCACTGCCGAGGCCCCGTCAATTCCCCTGCATGTGATCATGTGATTGGGTCTCTATTATTTTCTTATTTGGAGTAATTGTCCTGTTCAGCTGGGCCAGGCCCTGTAAATTTATGGTCATAGTCATTGAGCTTGAGGGTTACCCTGGTTGAGAGGAAATGACTTGCTATCCCAATGCTCTGATTCATTCATCGGGATAGCCCCATGTCTTTGGAGGAAAAAAAAGAGCCCAAGAGAATGCAGCCAGGATTGCAGAACTTGGCCCAGGGGTCTGATCAGTCACAGCACAGTTTCTTTGAGACCAACGTCCCCAGTATTTAATGACACGATGTAGAGTTTTGTATGTCCTTGCTTCTATAACCTTAATCCATCATAAAAGTATCACATTTTAGTTACGTTATGCCTGTTAAAATGTGCATGTAAACATTTTAAAATAAGATGCAAATGTGCACCCCAAAACATTGCTGACCTTTCAAAGAAGCTTGCTGATAAGCAGCATAGTCACTGCTCCATCAAATACTGACAATATATTAGGCCATGGATGTGTATAAAAGACATTTTGTTTTTGTCCGAATTGGGAAACATTGGCCATGTTTGTCCACCTGAGGAATAAACAGCTTTAGTTTTTCTCTTAAATTGGACAGTGCCAAGGGACTGGCTCTGAATACTGTAGTTTTATTTTCTTCTTTGCAAGATTTGGATTTACAGTAACTTGCTGGGTTGGTCTTTCCTTATCTTGTGAACAATCAGAACAAAGCCCCACCACTGAGTACTTCCTTTAGGAGTGCGGACTGTTAAGGCTGAACTTGCCTGCCTTCCCCACCTTCCTTAGGGTGGAATTGTCCCATCCCTATGTTGTCAGGGTGGGCTGGGCTCCCTCCCTGCTCCACTCCCTGGACTCAGAATGTCATGGCTTTGTGCTCCTATTCTGTGGCTGGGCTGGTGCAGGCCTGTGTGGCCTGTCCTGTTCCAAAACACCATCTTGTACCTATTGGAAAGACATGGACAGCCTGGGTCTTTCCATGTATTGAGAGACCATAGAATATAGTGGTTCTCTCCCTAGAACTAGAAGAGATTTTAAGGAATGAATGACCCAGTGTCATTGTTGTCCTTAACGAATGCCTTTCTGAGGCTCTCACTGTTGTAGACAGTGTTCCAGACTCTAGAAATTAAAGAGAAGGCCAGAGCCTGCCGTGAAGGACTTACAGCTTTACCAAGGGACAGAGATATAGCCAAAGCAAAGCAATGCAAAACAAAACTAAACAAAAGCAAATAAAAGTGAATTACAGTGCAGGATGCTTTCTCCAGAGACCCAGACAAAAATGTGCTGGGGGAGCACCCCTGCTGCTCTGCTGTCTGCCTTATGACCCAGAAGAAGGGCTTATCCAGCCTCAGGGTCTCCATCTTTAAAGTAGCTCTTCTTGCCTCATAGGACAGTTGTGAGATGTGAGTGAGATATCACAAACAGCCCACCAGGAACTTGACAGGTACAGTGAACCTAACATCGTCTCTACTTCCCCTATTGGGAGGATGTTGACCTTCAAGATAAGAGCAGGAAGTGTCCAGTTTGTGGAAGGATGTTGTGCAAACTTCTCCGTCACCCAGCTCCTCAGATCTGCCCATATGAACCACTTTCTCCAACCCTATTTTCTCATGTGCTCCTTTCACAGTTTTTAAACACTTTGCTCAATGTTACAGTGACTACATCAGGGTCCTGGACTAAAGGAAATATTCAATTAGTAAAGATTTACTTTAGAGGACCCTTGGTTGTTTGGTTTGGGCTATAATTCTACACTTAGAGAAATTTGGTAGTCACATTTTCATATAATCAAATATGAACTACAAAACAGCAAAAACACTTAAGCAATTTGTAATAACCATTGTTGAGTGATTCTTGACTCCATGCAAACATCACAAGTCACACTTCTTAGCATCTTCCCTGGCTTTTGAGGGAGTGACGGGGTAGACTCTTATGACAAATTATTCTACAAAAAGGAAGTTTGCCTATCCCTTGTGGTCATCAGTTACCACCTCCTGCCTAACACTCAGTACTTCTCTGCTCTGCTCTTATGCTTTAGGTTATATGGGACTTCACAACACACATTACTTGGCAGGTTGTCACACTGTTGAAGCTTCCCTAGTAGATGCTGTGGTGTTATATGGAGTATCTTTTAAATTGAATTTACAGTGATTCACCATCAGTTTATATAAATACCACTGATTTTTATATATTAGATTTGCATCCTGTGATCTAAACTCACATATTAGCTCAAGTAACTTTCTGTGGATTCTCTGGACTATCTATGTAGACTATAATGTCATTTGAAAATAAAAGTTTTCTTCTTTTTCCTAAGTCCTATATATTTTATTTCTTTTTCTTGCCACATTGCATTGGCTAAGATTTCCAGCACAATGTTAAATATAAGTAGTGAGAGCAGACATCTGTGCTTTGTTCCCAGTACTCGGGGGAGTAGCACTCAGTAACCACCATCATGAACAATGTTAGCTATTGATTTATCCAAGTAGGTTTTAAAATCCCTTAGTAACCAGAACTCTTTCTCCTGCTTCTTTGGCTTTGAACCTACTTCATGAGTCACCTATTTTAATTTATAACAATATAATGGTTTATAACAACGTGTTTTAATTTTGTACTGCAAATCTTGATTGTATTTGGTTTACAATAGCCAGCCTTTGCCAGGACTGAGAGAACATGTGGTCTCTTTTGGTGGAAAACAGCATGTACTGCATTACTTGTTTTAAAATAGTGACAATCAAAGCATGATTCCACCCTTTTAGCAGCGTACCTGTGCAATTACAACTGAGCATAGTCTCTGCTCACAGTTAGATGGCAGGCTAAAGGTCCTAATGTGAGACTGCCGTAATGGCCACTCACACAAAAACTGAGAGCTATGTCCATCACCTGAAGAATGCATAACCAAAGTATGGTAGGCAATAAAATATTATTAGTCCATAAAATACTAGTACATTTGACAATGTGGATGGACCTCAAGAACATTATGCTCAGCAAAAGAAACCAGTTGTAAAATGCCACATATTGTGTGACCCTATTTATAGCAAATGTCCAGAATAAGGAAATCCATAGAGACAAAGTAGATTATTGGTTTCTGGAGGATAATAAGAAGGTAGGACTCAGGTGCTAATGAATTCAGAGGTATGGGGTTTCTTTTTGGATGATGAAAATGTTCTAATGCTATATTATAGTAATGTATTGCTGTTTGTGAATATACTAAAAATCATAGAATTCCACACTTCAGACAGGTGGATTTTCTGGTATGTAAATTATATCTTAACAATACTATTTGAGTAAAAGAACATGAGGGCTAAATTAATGGCCAGGCTGCATCACGATGACACTGGGTAAATTGGGGGGAAGGGGATTATCCTCAGCCAAGTTTAAAAAGGCCATCTTCAAGGAAGATGAGCTGAGGTGAGTGTTTCAGGGGGAAGAAAACTACATATGCTATGTTAGGACTCCAGCAGCCTGCTGGAGAGTCTTGGGGGATGGGCCTCGACTCACTTCAGGTCTAGGCCCGTGACCACACTCCATCACCAACTGACAACTAGAGATCACGAAAGGGTTAGGGCAGGAAAGCTGATGAAAGAAAGCTGATGATTACAGAAAAAGAAGTTATCATCAAGATAAAATAGTCCCCAGGAGATTCTGAACAACGAAGCAAAAATGAGCAAATCCACCTAGTGCTGTTGGTAAAAAAACAAAAAGTAGCTGCAGTCAAGAACTAATACCAGCTTGGGCCGGGGATGTAGCTACCAACCAACCAAAAACTAACTTTTTTTTCTCTTCTTTCTATTTCAGACTATAGCCCTTGTTTTTCCTTGGTGAGTACAAAACTTTCAAAAAATTATTTCTGATGTGTAGTTAACTGGCTTTAAAAAATGTATGTGGAATGATATTGTTAGAGGAGGCTTATCTTCTCAAGAAAAAAGACCATATGGTCAGTAGGTGTCATTTGGCTTTTATACTTCAACTTCCTTGAGCAGGCTCATTTCACCTTTGTGTTACATTTTTTTCAAAAATTTGGCTCAGCTTCTCAGTATCCTGAAACGTATTACTGAGAATACAGTTTCCACATGTTTTCCTTTCTCTGACTTGTCACTACTTTTAAAGGATCTTGCCTTATCTCAGTGGCACACATTTGGCACCTGTTAGGGCACATGGTGGAACGTAATTGCACTGATAGTAATTGCTTCTTAAATTGATCAGCTAAGGGAAAAATTATTGAAAAGGAGCTTTCCTGGATTGCACTCTTGGTAAAAACCAGTTGGTATCACATATTTAAGGCCTTTTGGAGCCCAGGCAATAACAAAATTCCATGATTTTGATATTCTTAGAAAAAGAAAACTTTAAACACCATGTGTTTAAAGTTAATGAAATCAATGCTTTAAGTTTTCTAGAGAAAGAAAGGGAAGGCAATCTGAGAGTTTCGAAAGTGGCTGTAGCACATGTGCAGGTGATACATGAAATACTCTGCATGTACTCTGCCCTTAGCACCATGATGCTGGCAACTAAGCTTTATTCCCTAATTGTATGACCTTGTATGAAGCAGTTTATCTGTGTTGCAGAATTATTTCAGGGTCATTGGATCAGTTCTTTTGCCCTGGTTGGCCCTTTCTTTTAGCTAAGGAGCCTTAGTGGCCTATTCCATCTGGGCACGAATCATTATGGTTGTTCTTGGTGTGACGGAAGGCATTTTGGTTGCATGGATGTTTCTCCATAAGGAATGTGTAGTGTAATCAATAATTTATCAAGCTAAAGATGAAGGAAGACTCCATTTGCTACCCACCAAACTGATTTTGCTAGCCATATTCTCTGTTGAAAGTCACATATGCTGAATGGTTACTTGGGTAAATGTCAGTGGTGATATTAAAAAGGAGGATTATTACAGGAATAATATTCTTATGGTAAAGAATTAATTGCAAGAAATCTGCAATTCTTTATTGCCTCTGAATCCTAAGCAGAAATGTTGACTTGTTTATATTGGTTCAAATACAAATTAAATATGATGCCATTCAGAAGAAGTAGGTCCAAGTGCTTTATGAATGTGCCTACTATGTTGGAATAAAATGAAGGTCAGACCCTAAATACGGGAGATGGTCTCTGGCTTGTTACAAGCATATGTCCTCTGTACCCTTTGACTCTCCATTTGGTGCTGGCACCTCCACAGTCATCTTGCTTTTTGCCCATCCTAAGATTTTCTGGCCTCTTGGCTGGTTAACCTTCTACCAGTCAGTGAGTCAGCAGTTCTCCAGCTGAATGATCCTGTGATAGGTATTTGCTGGGCTTTTCCAGTCTCCTCACCATGGTCTCAAACCCAGCAAGAGATTCAGAAATCAGTATCTGTCCAGAGGTGATGAGCCTTTGTCCAAGAGGTGACTGCTTGTACCTCCTTATTTGCACGGTGGATATATTGTCGCCAAAGTAGCCCACAGCATCTCCCCATCCATCACCCCCATTTCAGTGCTCCTTTAGGAAACTACTGAGTTCCTGGGTTAAAAGTGCTTGTCACTGCAGAAATCTTTTTGATGTTTAAGCACAGAATTCCTGTCCATGTTCTCTTATCCACTGCCTTCATTTGTAATCTTCCCACTGGCTACCAGCATAGATTAGTCTGTTCCATTTTGGTTGTTGAACATTTGGAACTTGGTCCAGAGCTTCAGGGTTTCAATTGATAGAAGTAAATTTATTCTAACTTGTGGATTAGAAACTTGCTTTGAGTGGGTTAGAAATAAACACATGTCTACCTTAGGTGGGGTAGTGAAGCTCCCTGAGGTTGGATGGAGACAGTCACAAACCATCCAGTGGGCTGGCTGCAGAAGAGTACAGTAGGCCCTTGCTGAATGGACACATTAACCCAAATGACCCCTTTTATCCTCTACCCACCTCTTTTTAGGAAGATTGTGACATTTAAATGAGATGCCCCAAGGTGAGCACTTAATATATTAATGTCAGCTAACATTATAGCTGCTATTCTTACTAGTAACATCATTACAGAGTTAAGGCAATGATTTCCAACTTTTATAGAAAGCATTTAACTTGGTTTGGATGTATATGGTAATACTATTCCAGCAATAATTCCTTTTCTAGAAATAATCCCTGATTTTTTCATTGAAAAAAAATCCTACCAGGTTAACATTTGACTTTCCAAAAAAAGAATCAGGTTTTTTCCCTGTTGAATTGTATTTCCAAGGCTTCTTAACCAGAGCCACCCTTTCCTAGGTTTTATTTTTCTTTTTTGCATTTAACAGTAGACTTGTGGAAGTAATACTATAGTCCATGTCAATGACCAAAGGCAACCAAAGTTCTTTCAACTGGAGAATGCTTGCAACTCTGTGGATTTTAGTGGCTTAGTATTTAATGCAATGGAATTTAAGAATTAAGAATTTATGGATGACACATAATTAAGGCTTAAATACTTTCTCCAGACTCTGTAAGTAGCTCAGCCAGTAGTGCACTGAGAATGGCAGGTCTTATATTTTTATACCTCGGGGTATCTACTATTAAGTAAAATTAAATGATACTGTAACTTGACTATTGCACTTTGGTTCGTGGAAATACCAAAGGAATAAAAGACAACTAAATTAAAGTGCTCATATTAACAGATAATTTTAATTTTAAAAAGTACTTAGGATAGTCATTCACTAGCTTGGTGTTCTTTAATGATTCATGCCTCCTTCTTTATCACTTTTAGTACAAATGAGTTTTCCCTACCAAGTCATTTTTCTTTCTTAGTGTAAGTGTGAATGAGCACCATGGCAAAAAAAACAAACAAAAAAACCTGCAATTTTTTTGTAATAAAGTTCCTGGGGCAAGTCTGTATGCTAACAGGTAGACAAATGCCTTGATCTTGCTTTCTGGCTATAGCAGCTGGAGTGACTGGTTTCAGCTCGCAGGACAGAAACCATCTCCTCTGCTTGCCTTTGGACTGCAAAAGGATGGGAAAACTAATACAAATGTTCTAAGGGATGTGTTCCCTGACTCCCTCCTTTGCTTGTACCTGAGCATTCTGTTAGTGGCCATTGAATCTGCAGGCATCCTCTCCAACAACAGTGCTTCTCCCAATAATGAGAAGTTTCTCTTCTGCAATCTGCAACCAGAAGCTGGCAACCGCTGGGATTAAGGTGCCACAGATTAATCCCTCAATAGTTCCATCCCCTGCTCCCCACCAAAGATTCAAAGATCTTCCAAGAAATGCCTTGGAAGAATCAAGTAGGTAATCCTTTGTCATAGAGCATACTAATTAGTCACCGTTTCCACTTAGAGGAAACAGGAACACAGCTTTCCCATATAAACTCGTGTCTCCTACGGGGCTTGCAGCAGACATAGTACAGAGCTGGAATTCTTCTAGAAATCCTTTTTTTCAAACAACAGGGAAACATGGATTCTCCAAGGCCAGGATGGCTCTCCGGCATCATCCCAGTAGAACCAGAGGTAAAGAGGGATCTACAGGGGAGCTTTTCTTCTCACTTTGAGTTTATGTTGTGCTTGTTTATATTTTAATGCAGTGGAATTGCTTTAAATTATAAAGTATGGAACTATAAGGGATGGAAATATTAGATTAAAGATTATTATCAAGAAACCTTCATTAAATGAAAAGTTGGCAAGTTCATTAGCTAATGTTATCCAACTCTATGCAGGAAATCTAGGTTTATGTTTCAGGAAGCCATTTGTACTCCACCACAGCTCAGCCAGTAGTGCACTGAGGATGGCAGAGAGGATGTCTGTTTGGGCCTCCAGGGTTGTTCCATAGCGTAAGATTGACCATTCTAGAAAAGCAATCCCTAACTATTTTGGAGACCCTAGGGTGGCTGAGTGACTCATGAAAATCCACCCATTGTAAGCTGGATATTTTCTACTTTAATAAGCAAATCCACCCTCTTGATTTTCCTTCAGAACTAGATTTGTGAAGTGGTATTTTAGTTAAAAGTGACACATGGATAAAGTGTGGGACACCTGGAGCAGGGTAGTGAGCAGGTCTGCAAGGAATTTGTCTTGAGTACCCAGGGATCAGGCTAGCAGGCTGTGCAAGCTTTCCCCTCTGTGGCACTCACTTTGTAGAGGCAGATGGCCTTGGCAGTTGCAGACCCTCACCAACTGCCTAAGGTGTGGCATCATTCAAGTTGGAGGATAGAAGACAAGACATTTATGGATCCTTCCGGGTGTGTGAGTTATAGGACAGTGTCTCAGACCCACTGGGCCACTGTATCAGGAACAAGGTCATACCAAATGCGAGGCCAGGGACCAGTCTCCCTGAGATGGAAACTCACCCTCAACAGCAGACCCATCCATGGAAGGATTTCTCAAATGAGTCGGGACATGGAAAAACAGGAGACTAAATGCCCTCTATTCAACACTGCCAATCTGAAGTGACTTTTTAAAACTTCCTATTATGAGGCCAAGTTTAGCACAAAGTGTTTCAAATATTAGGAACATAAGGATCTCTATGGAAATGCTGAACAAAAAATGTATCACATAATAGATTCTCTAAACTGCTTTTCTCCTTTTTAAATAGAAATATGTATAAGTAAATAACAAAAATCTGATTTGTGTTATTTCTGATGAAGACTGAATTTCAAAAACTTTAAAAAACATATTTAACTGATTCCAAACAACTCGCCCAAGACTGTTCTGTTATTAGAAATGGTATAGGTTAGGGCGGGGGATTTAGCTCAGTGGTTCCTCTGCCTGCCTTGCAAGCACAAGGCCCCGAGTTTAATCCCTGGTATCAAAAAAAACAAAACAAAGTGAATGAGTGTGTGTGTGTGTGTGTGTGTGTGTGTGTGTGTGTGTGTTTGTGTTAAATCTACTCTGTTGCTGCTGA